TTCATCAAAGAGGATATTCAGGCAGCCAATAAACATATGAAGAAATGTTCACGATCATTTGCCATCAGAGAGATGCAAATCAAAACAACAATGAGACATCATCTTGCCCCAGCACTAGTAGCAAAGTTCTACATGACAGAAAATAACAAATTCTGGTGAGGATGCAGAGATATTGAGATTCTCATACACTTCTGGTGGGATTGTAAAATGTTGCAACTACTGTGGCAAGCAGTATGGTGATTCTTTAAAAAGTTGGAATTAGAAATACCGTTTGACCCAGCAATTCCCTTACTGGGTGTATAACCTAAAGAAGTGAGAGCCATGACAAGCGCAGACATATGCACACCCATGATCACTGCAGCACTATCTACAATTGCCAAAAGATGGAAACAGCATAGGTGTCCATCAACAGAAGAATGGATAACTAAAGTATGGTACGTACAGACAGTGGAATACTATACAACCGTGAAGAATAACATTTGTTGTTGTTATGTGCCATCAAGTCGGTCCCGACTAATAACGACCACTCCTTGAGTTTCTGAGGCGGTATCACTATGGAAGTAGATTGCCCAACCTTCCTTCCGAGGAGTGGCTGGTGGGTTTGAACCACCAGGCTTCTGGTTAGCAGGCAAGTGCCTTAGCCACTATTCTACCAGAGCTCCTGAAACACCGCATAACATGGATGAACTTGGAGGATATTATACTGAGTGAAATAACTCAATTACAGAGAATGACTATTGTATTAATCTGTTACTGTAAAAAGTCAAGGAAAGGTTTACATATGGAAGGAAATTTTCTTTGTTGGTTACCAGGGGTGGGAGGGGAGAGGAGGGAACACTGTTAGATAGGTAGAGATAAGTATTGACTTGGGTGAAAAGAAGGGCAATGTACCAAATGTGAGTGATCAACATGGTAGCATTGAGGAAAAGGAAGATTAGAGAGGTAAATGGGAGGTGCAGACAACAAAGATGAACCCTTTTGCATATACAGTACTGCATTGTCAGTGAAGGCAAACATGGGTATATGGGTGGATAAATGTGTAGACAGGCTGAACTATTAGGTATGTCCATGTAA